TTTCCTCTTCATTTTCTTTACCAATATTGTGGTGATTACACTTTCGTATGTCTCATTTATCTGTTACGTGAATTGATTGGTGAGACAGCTTTCCTGAGATGTTCTCTGATTCATTTTTTGCAGTAGAAGTCTTGTTAAAAGCATGTTGCGGAAAAATCCAGAACTCAGACCGAGTGTAAGTCTTTTTTGCACCTTGTTTTCAAGTAAAATGGTTCAAAAAATTTCCATCTCTAGTCCATCATGTGCTAGGAAGATTTGTCTAAACTACTGAAGTTTAACCCTATTTTTCCAGGCTGCAGAGTTGCTTGGTCATCCACATCTTCAACCTCATATCCTAAAGATTCATATCAAATTAAACAACCCTAGACGGAACACTTTTCCAGTTGCTTGGTCTGATTCCAACTACATTAAGAAGACCACATTTATGGAGCCTGAAGTTGTTCCATTTTGTACTGTCAGGGAGAAAAGGCGGTCACTCAGCAACAATAGGACCTTAAATCCCAGTACATCTGGAACTGAGCAAGACTCATCATGTTCTTCCAAGACTGCACAAAGATTCCCAAGTTTTTTGGAACATAAGTTCAGTGAAGTATCCATTGGAAGTGTCCATGACGAGTATGATATTGAGAAGTCAGTAACAACAAAATTTTCAACGATTGCCAAAACTCCAAGATTGACTCCAGTTGAAGCTTCTCCTACTCCTAGGAGACAGATCACAATGACCAAGATTTCTCATGTTGGCTCGAAACGTGATTCAGTAAGTTTGTTCGTGATGGTTAAAATTGTATTTTTCAATCTTACCAGAAGTGTGCACCACAAGCATAATGAATTTTTTTTAGCTTTGGAAATTTACTATAACAGCTCATAAAACAAAGTTTAGAGGTCCGTATTACATTACTTAAACCATAATATTTTCTGCAGCTTCCGATGTCGCATGCTCCAGCAAGGAACTCTTCTCAGCTTGGAAGGAGAGCATCTCTTCCATTATCCACGAGAGGTGCCGCTTTGCAAACCCCTTACAGAAATAATGTAGGTCTCCTTTGCAGTGTGGACTCTCCAGATGTCTCTGTCAATGCACCGCTCATTGACAAGATTGCTGAATTTCCCTTGGCCTCTTCTGAAGATCCTCTCTTTCCTATTTGCAAAACTTCATCAACATCTGCTCAGTGCTCTTCTTCTTCAGCCGACATTGCTGACTGCTCAATCACAAAGGACAAGTGCATGGTGCAGGTTGTCAACAAAGCCTTCTCCAGGCGCAGCTTCTCTGACCAAAGCCATGGAGATACACGAAATGGCAGCAAGTCCTCTGAACACAACGCTACAACTGGTGCATCCAGCCGGTCATCTTCTGAGTCACGACAGCGTCGGTTTGACACATCATCATACCAGCAACGTGCGGAGGCGTTAGAGGGGCTTTTGGAGTTCAGTGCACGTCTCTTGCAACAAGAAAGGTTCGAAGAGCTTGGCGTGCTGTTGAAGCCATTCGGGCCCGAAAAGGTTTCTCCGAGGGAAACTGCAATTTGGTTGGCTAAAAGTTTCAAGGAGACTGCTGCGTAGTGTAAAGGGAGATTCCTCATAGATAATAGGCCACTAAATTATGTCGTTGCCACTTTGTACTGTGTAGACGG